GCTTCTAGGACCCTACAAATTCCTCCACTTCTGGACTGATTTTTATTTTAGCTTTTCGGCCCAGGGTTTCCATATCTGGCAGGTAGTACAAAATCAAGCCCACACTATGCCATAGGGGAGGCTGGTTCGTAGAGTGTGACATTCTGATTTTACCCAATGGCTCAAGAAGGACAGTTCCTTGGCTTGTGGCTTGAGGGTAGCATTTTTATAGTCTTCATTCAGGGTTCCTGGTTTTATGTAAGGAGTCCAATCCCAGCTTCCCACTCTCTAGAGGGGGCATGGAACCTTGACTCCTTCCAGCTGCATCAATCCTCAGCTTCACGCCCCTCCTAGCTCAGGCTCACTGCTCTGGCCATCCCATGTGACACCTGCATCGTGTTTTGCATTGTAGTTGTGGGCTTATGTGCATTCTTTTAGACTGAGATCCTTGAGGACAGGGCCCACACGTTTGTACCCCAACACAACGCTTCCCATAGGGCCTTGCACACAGATTTTCTTGTTGGATTGAACTATACCATAATCTCCTTAATGTTCATGGATATGAGGCTTGAGCAGGGTTTTCTTTACTTCGTTTTTTCATTATTGATGGGATAGTGGGGGTGAGAAGCACCAAACAGAGGTGCTCCTTTTTATTTTTCTGCTCTTTAAACTCAAAAGAAAAAGGCAGGCCTCATGGAGGCAGAGTTTACTCCAGTGCAGCAACTCCTGTGTTGTCATCAAGTTTCACATTCTGCTACCTCAGCTTCATATGCCAAGACAGAAAAAGCAGCAGGAAGACTTGTTTAACATTTATTCCCAGGTTTTTTTTTAATTTCCTCTGAAATGAATATGAATACACCGTGGTCTTTACACTCTGCGGGAGCTGAGCCCCCACTGGAAGCTTTGGGGAACCTCATTCCTTCTTGCGGATGCAATCTGTCGACACAGGCGTCCCTTCAGGCTCTTCTGAAAGGCCCACAGTAGATGGAGTGGCTCTCTCTTTGGAGCTCTATTACATTTATAACTATGGCTTTTTAAAAGAAAATAACATAGGAATTGCTTCCAGAACCCAAAGGCCTGTGTGAAACGCTGCCTTCTCTTTGAGGCGAGGCGGCTTTCAATGCCTTGTCCGGGCAGCGAGTGTGCCCCACGGCCTCGCGGCTGCTGCCAGAGGCGGGCAGTTACAGGAGCCTGAACCCACCACACATGCTCAATGGGCAATGTGTACTTTTGATGTCGAAAGAACCATGGGAAGAAAATGATATTTTTATAAATGAAAGTGCTTAATAAGTATTATTCACTAAGCAAAATCATATTTCCCTTGAATGTCTTGGGCCATGTATCAATTTCATTAACGAAAAGAAATCTGGTTGTAATATTTAATCCCATTATATAAATATTTTATTGCCAATAATGGCAATACAAAATGAATATTTTTATTGCCAATAATGGCAATAAAATTCTCAATATTTATCCAGTGAGCATTTATTAATTGTTTACTATGTGCATAGCACTATAAGTAGGCTCTGCGGAGACATTTTATCAAGTAAGTCTTTGATCTCAAGAAGCTTTTTTTAAGGTATCTAATTTATTTTGTGGCTAGCTCAATAAGATAAAAATTGTCTTAGAATTGGTAATACAGTTGAGATGACTGAAATTATTCAAGACTGTGGAAGGCTCTCTATGAAATTATCTGCTCATGCCCTTTCACACATCTGTGCTTTTAAATCACACGGAGTATTTCTCGGTACAGAATAAGGAACCCTCGTAATAAGCATTCCCAGGACTCAGTGAATCATATGGAACGAGAATCCATCTTAGAGTCAAGGTCATGTATCTCCCTCACATTATCTGATGAAGCTTTCTGCTGGTTTCTTGGGTGGCCAATCACATGACATATGTATGACGTTGGGGCAGGAACTGAAATAAAATTACTATAATATCCGTAGGGGGAAGAGGGATTGTCACTGTTGAGCATTTCAATCAAAGACTTAATTCCTTTTAAACTTCCCTCCACCCTCACGCAGCGCTCTGAACTCAACCACAAAGAGCTCCTTAGTTTACCCACTGAATTCACAATACTGCAAGCTGCTGTGGCTTTGTGAATTTTCTTTCAAGGATTTCAGGTGCTAAATGATATAACATATGCCCTGGTACAATTTATTCAATATTCTAATCAGCAACCTCAAGAATGCTTCATCCAGGTTGGACTCTAGAAGAAGTTAAGGACTAAAAAGCACAGCATATGGCGTTTCCAGAAAGTACATTTTTTGATGGCACTATGGCATTGAACTTGAAGACCAGATGGTATTTTCTTAGACAACCATTCTTGGGTGGCTGTGAATAACACCCAAAAATCCTCCAGCCCAACACCTATATCCCTTTCATCACACGACATCGCCATGAGGTGGAAGCAATGTTGTAGGTGTGTGACTTCCACCACAAAGATTCACGTCAAGGGTAAAAAATCGTGTCCCCTAAGTCATCATTCCATGGCAGTTTCCACTTGTGACTCATAACTCAGTAAATGACCATTCTGCCCTTCCAGTTGCTCAGACTAAAACCTTGGAGTTATCCTTGACTTTCTTTCTCACTCAGCATCCAGGGTGTCAGCAAATGCTGTTGGCTTTACTTTCGATATATATCCAAATCCAACCACTCTCACCACCTCCACCACTTTCACACTGATCCAAAATACCATCTCTCTCCCCTGGATTCCTGCAAGAGCCTCTGCCTGGATTCTCTGCTCTGCCCTCACCCTTACTGTCTAGTTTCCACTCAGTAGCCAAAGTAATAATATCACAACTTCAGTCAAATCATATGACCTTCTGCTCAAACTCTGCAACAGTCCCCTCCACCCAGCCCCCACAGAGTAAAAGCCAAGGTCCTGACAGCAGCCTCCTGGGCCCTACAAGATTCCTGACCACCAACTTCCCCATATCTAAGTTAACTTTTCCCCACCCCACTCACTCCCAAACACCTATGCCAACCTCTGTGATGCTCTTCCAACAAGCCAGGAACATTCCCATCTTGAGGCCTTTGCACTGCTAATCCGGCTGCCTGGAACATTCCCAAATAACACATGGCTTGTTCGTTCACCTCCTGAAGTCTTATCTCGAAGGTCGCATTTCCAATAGGACCTACCCTGGTCACTCTCTAAAACTGCAACTGTCCAACTCCTGGCATGCCTTACCCCCTCTCTGTTATCTCTACAATACAACATCGCCTAACCAATTATTTATTTACTCATCTATTTGTTGATCATCTTTCTCCCCCCATAGAATGTAAGCTCCATGAGGGTAGGAATTCTTGTCTGTTTTGTTCTCTGCTGTATCTGCAGCACCTAGCAAAGACACTGGCCCACAGTAGGTGTTCAATAAATATCCTAGCAATGAATGAATAAATGAGCAAACAAAAGACTGTTTGTACTATGTGCTACGCACTTCGGAACTCTAGGCTTTGCTATATTTATTCACAAACACACCACAATAACAACTTCAGGGGTTGTAGCAGGTTATATTAAAGGACTTCTGGAGTCATTCTGGATCAAATGTCATACTTCAGAAGGTAAGGTCATGTCAAGGTTCTAATGTACAGACGGGCCCATTTTGGCAGATCGGGGTCAGGGCAGGGGGCAGGGTGGCTGATACTAGTGCTTTTCTGTCTGTTGACCCAGTTTAAGGAAAGTTGGGTTGTGGAGCCATTTTGGGAAGACAAAGCATACTGGCCGCCATGCCCATATCTGCTTCTCGCACTAACCACACGCACATGTCCAACACTGAGATTTTCTCCTATGAAAACAGACCTTCCCTCGAACAGGAGTATCACTGCATGAAAGAAACTTTCCAATGGAAACTTGGGAAGTCAAAGGAATGTACTATATGTCCAAAGATTCATGTTCTAATTTGAGATTGGTTTGGGTTTAGAGTAAAGTAGAAAAAGAAAGGAGATAGTAATATGCTTTTTGAGGATTCTGTATTTTTACAAAGAAAATAAAGAAAACATGAAAAAGAAATATCTGATCATCAGCATTTTGAGCAGTAGTAATATGAACATTTTCTATTAGAGTTTGTGTGTGTAAGAGAGAGAAAATAAGTGGAGAAGGATAAAGTAATATAACACATTTTTTTCAAGATAAAGTTTCTTAAATAAATCTTTTCTCTCTGCTTCTTTTTCTGTTACATAACCCCAAATTATCAGTTCATAGATTAATCTATTTTGTGACCAAAAAAAAAAAATAGCAACATTGAAACCAGTGTTTCTTACTGAAGCACATCAGAATTACCTAATTCTGTTCCAAATACTGGAAATCACCTTAAAACATTTTCTAAAGAATTGATAAAATATATGTATGAAGTTTAAATGAAAATTGCTGTAAGTTTTCATCTGTCTAGCTGTTAGATTATTTTTTTAAAATAATGATTGCCAAAGTAAAAAAGATAGAAGAAAATTACACGGTTTGTATAGGATAAGAAATTTAGAGATACAAATTCCTCAGTCATATGGCTACAATTTTTACTACCATTTCTCACTATAACGACTACATAAGAGGAAGCACACCCTACCTACAGAGGGGTACTACTCCTGACTAGAGGGCATTGTTTTCTCATTACTTCATCTTCACGTACAGTGTGACTCCAGCAAGACTGCACATCCCTTTAGAGCAGAAGCTGTAGCTCTGACGCCCTTCTAACCCTGTAAAATGGCAAGCGTAGAACCAGACACACAGTAGGCACTCAGTAAATGTACGCTGCCTTACATTTCTGCCAGCAATTCTTTAAAACTCTGACAAAGGTTTCGAGATTGTAAACAGGCTAAGAAGGATAGGCCTGTACAAGTCAAGATGCCCTGTGAAAAAGCAAAGGATAGACAGGGAAAGGAAAATGATGGAACAGACTTGTGCACACGTGCATGACTTATTAGAATGAACTGCATTTCAGGAGTTTCAAGCAATACTCTTAAAAAGTTAGCCTTAAAATCATATTTTGAGATGTGAATTCAGAGCTAAAATAAATTCTTACAGTTTTCATCCTGGGCAATGCATTGTAAAGGGATCCCAAAGAAAGACGTATAGCTGTCATTGTACCACACCAGAAGCTCGGTACCCCTGGGAATATCTATACAGGCTCGGTAGAATATATTCGACCTATTCAAAACAAAAGAAAACCCGGCTTAGTAATAGGTAGGACTCATGTGCCCCCATCCACATTTTTATTGCCCCAAAAATGTTCTGCCCAACTCCACTTAAACAGTTTTTGTTTGTAATAAAATCTGCACCCACCTTATTGTTCCCGGCAACCAATTAGAGCCTGTAACCCAGTATGATAAATAGTTCATAGTTTATTTATACAGTGTCCCTCCATACAGCGTCTTGGCTGAAGTGACAGATATTTGGCCCAGGAGACAGCAGAAAGGAAGAGTTCATTTAAAAAAAAAAAAAAATTCCATCTCACATTGATGAGAAAACTTTCTCTCTTGGCAAATGGCAGACACTGGTGCCTCAACCTCGTATATAAATTAACACTATTGATTCCTTATTTGAAGGAAAAGCATTATGTGTATTCTTGCAACTTGGCATTGGGAGTTCTCGAATTTATAATAAAATTAAACAGCTTTGTAATATAAGGAATGAGAGAAATAAAAATCTTCCTCATTGCCTTCCTTCTAAGGTTTGATACTGGAGAAGAGAAAAACCCTCTTACATGAAATGGATGGCGATTCAATAAATACAAGAAGAGCACTTTACTCTGGCTGAAAGATTACACTCTGAAAAGACAGAGCGAAGGTATCAAGAAATAAACATTTTTTTTATAACAGCTTTGGTGCTGTAAAAAAAAAAAAAAAAAATCTACAGATTAAAAAAAATGAGACCGCGACTGGTTTTCTCAATGAAGAATTGCTACAAATATTAGACTCAAGTTCAAGATAAAAGTGTTTAGGGTTGGTGGGCCTTAAATTTAGCCTTTCTGTAAGGAATTGGCTATAGCAGGGCAATTTGTTCCTTGTACAACACTGCAGACAGAAAGCGAATCCTTCACCACATTTTTCATGGCAGTGAGATATGCACTTGTCAACATATTTTGTCACCACAAAGTGGCTCTTGGCAATAGGATCATAAAGATCAATAAAAAAGTGCAGATTCTCAATATTTTACTTGCAGCTGCAAAAATTTCATTTATCTTGTTATTTTCCTTACTTGCTGCCATTCTGTCTCATGAGGGCACTGCTAGCTAAGCAGAATGTTTTTTCCCAACATTCTATGAATATCTGACAAAAACTCCAGCCAGTTGTCCTGGATCTCACTCCCCTTCCTCCCTCCGCATCTCCAAGAGCTGTGCATTTTATTAATTCTTTCCACTGCTACATAAAAAAATCAAAATTGGAGCCGAGCTATAAATCACTGGCATCTCCTAACTTGAGAAAAATTGAGTCTACTTTGTACTTCACCCTTGTAACATTTCATCTCTCGGTTTGGCTTCCCTTAATATAAACACAGCGCCCGGCAAATGAATGTGCTAAAACCAAATGACACACTTTGCCGCTGAAAGAGCAGAACTGTTTTCGAGCAATGGGTGGTCTTCTGAGGCACGGAGTAGGCCGAAAGGGAAAAAAAAATGTGTAAGCGTACACCGTTCCTTACAAGCGGGCAGAGCTTCCAAAACTCGCAGAAATCTCTGCATGTTGAAGCACATCAAAGGGATTTTTCCCTTTTCAGATAATATTTCCTTTGCTGACATGTATTTAGTATTGTGGTTGGATGACTCATAAAGATAGCTTCATGGCGTCCCAACGCAGTTGAAGCAGAACACATGCCAACAAACATTATTGTCAGCCTCAAAATAAAAACAAAACGTTCAACTAAGGGTCAATCAATCAAGAGCGCTTTGAAGAAAATTCCATTTAGATATTACAAATCATAACAGAATGAATCTAAACCAGCTGACTTTTTGTGAAGAGGACATTCATGTACAATAAAAATTAGGCTGGCTCTTCAGGGTCCAACTTTTCTATTTTCTTACTCTTGGACGTGGTCACTGGTGATGGATGCCAGTTTTTTAAATTGTGTTTTTGTAGTTCATTTTATAAAGATCTCAAGTAATCAAAAACAGATCGGCAGAGAGAGCTCGAAGTTTAAGCGCCATCATGAAAGGGGAGCTATAAAACCCACTTAATATTGACAGATAGGTAATGACTTACTCATGCCCACCTTCCTCTTAGGGGTTTCTCGTTTGCCCAGATTCCGGATTTGCCTCAAGAGCTCCCTGGGTGCTCGTTACTGAACCAGCCAAACTATTCTCTTGCTGAATGAACAAGCACAATCTTTACTAATTTTCTAGCTCCGAATTTCATAAAAACTTCATGACAGAAATGCAGCTGCAATCAAGGTGAGCAAAGCCCGTACACAGCAGTGTAACCAGACACCACCGTGCACCATTGCATCTGAACCATTATTTCATGAACTATAACTGCATAGGAAACCAAGGCAGCGAAAAGTCCCATGCTTCGCAAATACGTTCCTTTTGAGTTGGAGACCTTCGGAGAGCAAGCCAGATTTGTTCAGCCTTTAACCTATAAGGAGAATAAAGCTTTTTTTCTATTTTTAAAGGCTTCATTTAGAAAAAGGGTGGAGGGGAGGAAAATAAATAGCCACAGGCAGGACTCCAAGTTGCCGAGCACAGGGCCTTCTGCTTTGATGTGTCTTTGGTGCCTAATAAAGCTAAACAGTTGCTTCTGATTCTAAAGGGAACATGGCTGTTTATAACTGAGGTCATATATTTATATGGCACATGTTTTCGAGGGATTTTAAAGAAAAGAGGGCTTAGTGGTAGGGCTTTTTTCCTATGTGATTGGTTTCTGCCCTCCCGCATCCACTCCAAGCTTCTTTAACACTAAATGGAAAAGCTTGACCAACAGGTGCACTGAGCAGATGTGGCTTGGCATCTGGGAATCCACCTTGCTTCTCAGCCCCCAGAGGCATCCCCGGGAGGCTCTGGGAAATGGAGGCGACTCCACCTTGCCTTTGTTACCCTTTGGGCTTTGCCTAAACATCTCAGGAAACTTGGGGCTTCTGGAACCTCCTCATCACCTGAAACATATTCTGAATCATCCAAGGGCCAAAGCTCAATGCTTTGGTACCTTTCCAGGGATCAGGAGCAGTTACTCTGGCTCAGATACTGCTGCTGAGCTTAAGAGCTTTGGAAAAGCAGCCTTGGGAAGGCCGAGAGTCCTTGGTTTCCCAGGCCTTTGTGCAAATGAAACTGTTCCCCCTGGGAGAAAGCCTGAAGGTGACGGAAAGCAAAGGATCTGGGACTGAACCTCTGCACTCCCATTTGTGCGTGTGTGTGTTTACACATCTGCTGTGGGGAACCACCCCAAGTCACTGGGTTTGCTGAGCTCACTCAGGCCATGGCGGAAGTTCAGGTGAAGATGTAAAAGTAAACTTTACCATGTGCACCGAAAGAGGCCCACTAGCATCTTTATTCCTGAATTCTCATGAAATTACTGTTGCAATTGCTAAGGTTTCAGAAACCTAGCAAAAAAAAAAAAAAAAAAAAAAATTTCTGCCAGTATCCGCAGAGTTTCTGCAATAATTCCTGCAGAAGATTTTCAAAACTAGCAGCAAGCCTGAATTTGTATATGCAAGCCCAAGGGCTTTGGCTCTGTAAGTGGTAAATCGAGATATACTTTACCTGTACTGAACTACTGTTAGATTCTGTTCTCCGCAGTGCCTTGCACATCGGATATACCTCATCCAGCTTGACTTACTAGGTTCCCCACCATCAATAAAGTGCTGTAGTGTCCCATCTTGGTCATATATCTAGAGAAGAGGTCAGAAGGTCAAGTAGTTAGAACGAATCATCAGCAATCATTTTCCCTGCTTCCCTTGGTGTCTCTGTGTGTCGGCTGCAGAAATTTATTGCCCTTAGGTTTGCTAGCGCTTATTGATGTTGTGGAAACTCAACCGGAATAACAAGAAAATATTTTTGGGTGATGCAAGTCAATCACATTTTTCTTATCAAGCCAATCTTCCCTGTATTAAACATATTTGTGGTATCTCAAGGATGTGAGTGACCATGTTTCCCAAAGAATATTTAACCAATGTGACAGGCTACTCTTAAGTAATGAGCTGCTGGATAAACAAAGCAAGCTGAAAGGAGAGGCCACACTGACATGGCTAGAACATCTACATAAAAGGTCCCCAGTCTCAAACATGTAACTGTCTGAAGGCATTCAGAGGCAGTAACTGTCTGTTCAACAAGCTGGGTGACACCTAGCAGAAGGCAGTTATGGAACTGTATAGAACTTGTAAAACGAACTCGGAATTGGATGAAATAAATGGGCTCTCACCTCACAGAAGATGTAGGACTTCAGCTGTCAGGAACTGAAACTATGAGGAGAGGAGTCATCAAAAAAGAGACCCTCAAAAAGGGAGAAAAAATAACTGTTTTCTATGGATTTAAATGTCTTAACTGAGGTTGGCCTAATAATTATTGCCTTAGGTCATCTCAAACAGACTTTCTTTCAAGATTATATTCAAGGAAACGAAGTCTGCTTCAAATCAGGTAAAAAATATGGGACAAAAAGTCTTATGCAAAACACCTAGCCAGCCCGGCACCCACGGAGTCAGTGCTGACAGCAGAGGCGATCGGCTCCCACTTCCGGAAACCAGGTCAACCCTGGGCACCTGGGAGGATGTGGCATCTAGAGGAGCTGGAGATCAGGGGCGTACATATGTACAGCAGTTCTGGAAGGTCGACCCCAGTCCAAGGGGCATCCAGGGAGCAAGGGGCACAGTTCTCAGAAGGCCCATGGTACAACCGGACCTTTCCGAATAAAATCAGCAGTAGGATCCCGGCAGCTGCTGAGATGCTCATCCCTCTTACTCCTGTTAATCAGCCTTCCCTCTTCTCCTTTCCAAAGAGACATAGAGAATAAGTCTCACAGAGAGCCCCTGTGAGACTGGTTACATTTAGGCCCTAAAATTACTATGATCATTTATATTAATTTAGCTCAGTATTTCTATTCTGGGGGGCCAAAGAGCTTGTTGACGACAATTTCTTTTTATTATTATCATTTTAAAACAGTTGTTTTTCTTACTTTTCTTGAACTCATTTGTCTCTACCTCCAACCTTTCCACTAACTCCTACAAATAAAAATAGACATCAGTCTAATAAAGACAATTGTTTGAGAAGTTATAACTGTGTAGCATGCCAGAGTGATCACGGCTGATAATCAATGTCTCCTGAGAAGAACGAATAAATTCTTAGATTACATTATATTTCAGATTAATGACTTCTTTAAATTCCCAGTTTGGGGGTGATGGCAGAGAATGGAAACATTTCATGTGATGGATACATCTCCTGCATGAGCAAGCTAATGACAGACTTCGTATTTAGGTTATATTACACTGTAGCTATTTTGTTGTTGTTTTTGTTTTTGTTTTAAGAAGGTTCAAAGTCCCAACCCTGAGCCTGCTGTTGACAGCCCATGCAACACTGAAAAAATCAACAATTCCTTAAACGCCACCATTTATCTATAATAGAACCAAAAATGTTGATGACCTAGCCCTCTGCCCTGTCCTTTCCCCATGAAGAAATCTTCCTTGAAGACTGCTGGTGAAGATAATAATGAAGCATTGTGAGATGTACAATTCTCCTTTGTGCTTCTAGCCAATGTCCTCAATTGCAAGAAAAATGCTCTAACATTTACAAGGTAGTGGGTGCTAGCTCATTGTTAGCTCATTTGAACACCAAACACTAGCCAGTCGGTCTTAGAAATGAGTATAAAACATGTTTCCTTCTACACTCTTATTTCAACAATTGTCTCTTTAAACTAAGTATTGTGACTAAGAATCCTACAATTTTTGTCTGCCTGATTAAACTACTACTTGCCTTGAGGAAAAACAGATAACTATATGTCAGGCTTTTCCCAAATTATCCCACAATGTAGCACATGGCATGAGGTTGAGCCTCCCTGGCTTCAGTTAATACCGATATTAAACTATTTTACATGAAGCTATGATGAGAATCCCACACATCTAATTAGAGCCCATAATCGTGTACCCAATCAGAATTGAAGAAACTCATTTAACCTTGATCTTGTCTCTTCCCCAGTCTCCAGAGCCTGACCACCGCCAAATCCAGTTGAATTTGCCTCCTAAACTTTTTATGTGAATCTATCTCTCCCTTTCCAGTTACCACACTAGCCCAAATCAGTCTCCTTTCTCACCTCAAGTATCGCATCTCGTAACTGATCTCCTTGTAGCTTCTCCAGGCCTCCTCCAAACTATTCTCTACACTGCAGCCAGAGTGATCTTTCAAAACACAAATGTGATTACGTCCATTTCACCCAACCTCCTTTCCCCAAATAAAAAACTTCATAAATGTCATAAAACGTCAAGTCATAACAACACATACTCATACATGCAGGAATTCCTCAAGGGGTCTCATGCCTCCTATCAGTTAAATTTAGGAAGGCCAAATATGTATGCCTTTGCATCTGGCTCAAGATAATCCCGGGCCCTTTCTGGTCTGTGCTGTTAAGCTCAGTGTTTCATAAAAGAGAAACAATGGGCGAGAAGGCACCGATGCCTACTTCTGTTCATTCCTATAGTAGAAGAGAACAAACCTGGGGAAACCAGAATACCCCAATGTGAGTGCTAAACGGGAACTAAGGACGACTTCTCAGAAAGGCTCTAGGTACTAATTTGGACCCTGTCATTACTCTCCAACACTAGCTCAACTTTGTTCATATTTAAGAGCTCAGTTAAAAAGGGAAGAGGAGGAAAGAGGAGGGGGAGGGAGAAGAGGAGGGAGAGAAAGAGAAGGAAGAAGAAGAAGGTAAAATTATGCATGTAACTGAACTATACAGGAACCACAGTGGAAATGTTTCAACAGGTTTCAGTCTAGAGCAGCAGCAACGATTTCAAGTTCAGGGAGTTGTGCTATGAAGGTTGCATTAACACCTACATTTGGGTGACACTCAACGGAAATTTTAAGTTGGATATCTAATTGGTCTAAAAATTTGAGGAATTTAAGAAGACAAATTAATGCCAAAACCAAGAGTTATTTTGTTTTTATTACCTTTCAGAAGATTTAAGATAAGCAGAAAAATATTAAAATCATACACAAAGTGTTTAGACAGTTCCCTCAGGATTTATGAAAATATTAAAAAGATGAGAAATTTTATTCATGAATAGGGAG